TTTTCCAACCTAAACGATTCTCTGATTCTATGATTCTAAGAACAGGAGCAGCAGCTGGGCGTCCTGTGCTGCCTTCCACAGAGCAGGGCTAGACCTCCACGGCAGTCAGCCGGGGCTGCGCTGCGGGTCACCCTTCGCCGGGGACAGGGGACACACACCTGGACCCTTTGGGCGTTGGCTTCAGCGCTGCTTGACAGCTCGGCTGTGTGTTTTCTCGCAGGCATGCCAACCGGACTGCAAGGGCAGAGCGTCTCTTCGGGGAGCTCCGAAATCAAATCTGACGACGAGGGAGATGAGAACCTCCAGGACACAAAGTCTTCTGAGGACAAGAAACTAGAGGATGACAAGAAGGATATCAAATCAATTACTAGGTCAAGATCTAGGTAACAGTATATAATAGTGTCGCTTCATTTAATTCCTTTACTGGATTTCGATGAAGTGAACAGAACAGGAGGAAACTGAGGTTTTTTCCTGGCAGGTAAAACCACAGCCTAAATGGAACGGGATGGCTATTCTGGCAGTACCGAGTACCTTTCTGGTACCTGTACTCCAGGACGTCCTCAAATTCGAACAATTCCCAAATTTGGATGCTGAGCAAGTTCTCCACAATCTATAAAGAAATTGCATTATGCTAAAATGTATAAATTAGGCTGTTATTCCTCTCTGCCTATGCTTGCAAATTGGAATACAGTATGGATTTTCATCTCTTTAAAAATGTGCCTAAGAGCTGACCACACCTGCATCTGAACTAACAAACCGTATGCTTTTCTTTTACCTCTGAATTAGATTTGTCATTCCCAGTCCTCAATTTCTGTACGTCTCTAGGGCTCCCTAGGTTTAAGCGCAGAGGGTCTAGAGGTGTTTACTTGTTTGGCATTTGCTTAGAAATTTTTGGAAAGGCTTAGTGAAGGCGTAGCTGGATTGTATCATCTGGGAACTCATGCCCATGGTAAATGTGAGCAATGTCTGTGGGTGCTGCAGACCTGAGCCTGAGCAAGGGACAGGCTTGACTCCTGTCCCTCGAATCTCACCTGCCGCGCCTGCACGTCGGCACCGGGCCCGAGGTACGGCCCAGGACTGCAGATACTGCTCGTCGTAGCCAAAAATCCCAATAAAGGTGGATTCCAGGCACAACCCTGCTTTGGTCAGGGGATTTTTTTAAAGATGAATGGCAGCATCCTTCTGCCTTTTCTCCTTCCACGCCTGGTTCCGGACGTGCTGCCCCCAGGAGAGCACCGAGACTCGGACCTCTCAGGCCAGTGCTCGCTGATGTTTAAAACCTTAATTACATTCACGTCTCTTGGGACTGGAGAAAATACACGGCACTCGAGCTTTTCTCTGAATAAATGTGTTGAAGTAACCATATGTATAAGTGAGGCTTTCATGTGCGTTTATGATACGGTAAGAAGAAAGCACCTATATGCTGATGTGAGGTGATCATAGGTCTTGTTAATTCAACAAATATGCTGTTGCTTATGCATATTTATATGTGCTTTGAAGCTTTTGTAGGCTAACATTTTTGCTTTTAACGTGCTTGCAGCTTTAAAAGGTTACTCCTGATATTTAGTTATATGTCTAAATCCAGGTTGTTAGGACTGCTGAAAATTTATTACTCCATTTGCATAACCAATTCAAATTGCATAGAGCCAGTGACTCACCAGTGGATGTGTTTTCAAATTAAAATCGTCATTTTATCTGGATAGAAAGCAGTTTTGTTGCAGAAAGGATGCAGAAGTTCACCGCAGGGCTCTTCACAGCCATAAATCGCCTCCGTGGCTCTTTGCCCATGGGTGTTTGGGTGCCCAGTGCTCCGTGCAGGGGGTGGGGTGCTGCCCACACCCACACCCGTGGCTTGCCACTGCTCGGGAGGATTGCGGATTCTCACCCGCGTCCTCAGCGATGGAGAAAGTTTCTTCCAAAACCCGAATGACGGTGTGCTGAAAGGGAAGCGTATAAATGCCCGGCTGTCATCCTGGCTTGGAAGCTACTGCTGAGGGGCCGGAGCCCGTGGGACTTGGGTGCTGCTTTAAACTATCAGAATCCTGCCTCGCGGGATGTAAAGCTTCGTGACAAACCAGGGCTTTACTCGGTGTAAAATTTACGGGGACTGAATTTTGCGTAGGTGTGGTGGAAGAGGGGCAGCGACTAAGGACCGCTCAGAAGGTGTCCGCTCATGAACTGTAGCCCTAGTTTTGGCCAAAGTGTGTTGGAAATCTTGGCGCTACTTATTTTCCACATCATTAGAAAATGATGTATTCCTTTTGTCTCCCAGCAATAACGATGACGAAGACCTGACACCGGAGCAGAAGGCCGAGAGGGAAAAGGAAAGGAGGATGGCCAACAACGCTCGGGAGCGCCTGCGCGTCCGCGACATCAACGAGGCTTTCAAGGAGTTGGGCCGGATGGTGCAGCTCCACCTGAAGAGCGACAAGCCCCAGACCAAGCTCCTGATTCTACACCAGGCTGTGGCTGTCATCCTCAGCTTAGAGCAGCAAGTCAGAGGTCAGCATGCCACCTCTTGCGTCTCCTCACATCCCTCCGGGGCTTCGCCCATGCCAAACACGCCTTTTTGGGTTGGGGAAAGCCTGCCCAGGGGCACCCAGTGCCAGGGCGAGAGGCAAAACCTGACCCTTGGCACCCCGAGCCAGCCG